CGAGAAAAAAAAAATGCCCTTCTTCCGGCCCCAAATGGGCAATCGGATTCTTCACAAACAGACCTGGACTGGGAAGCTCCGTCCCCGGGCATGCATGGAGATGGACGTTCTCGACCGTGACGGCCCGCGCCTCCTCGGCACTGTTGAGCCTGCCGGCGGCCAGCACGCTGGCAGCGTCCTCGCCGTCGTCGTCCGACCACACGCGCGTGGCTGTGCGCTCGCGGTTCTGGGGAGGCAGGTACGCGAGGCTCACGTCCGAGCCGGCGCTGCGGGGGGCTGCGTCGACAGGCAGCGGCTGGAGGGCCATGTGAGACGAGGAGGACCGGGGTTCATATCGGTGCGGGCGGGCGCGGGGGCGGGCGAGGAATCGCGGCAGCGGGAGTGTCGGCAGGGCGAGGCTCGTGCGGAACAGAAAGGGGTTGCGGTGCGGTTGTCTTGGTGGTGCGGGAGACGGGACGCGAGGGGGTGTTTCTGCTGCTGCTGCTTCGACGTCGACGGGCATGAGGAGGTCGGGCAGGCTGTGCGACGGGTGGCTATTGCGGGCGGCGCTGCTGGAGGGGCTGCTGTTGCTGTGGTGGCTCAGCTGGCGTGTGGTTGCACGCAGGCTGGGCTTGAGAGTGCTGGTCGTCGTGGTGTCACTGTGGATGAGAAGAGGGCGTCAATATTATGAACAGGCAGCGTAAGGTCTACACCGTGTACGAGGACAACTTACGTTCGCGCGCCCCACGAGCCGGTGCCGCTGCGGCTGCCGCTTTGGTCGCTGACGTTGTAGCCATCGCTGTGGTGCAGATGTGGAAACATGGAGCCGAGGCCCATGGCGAGCACGGCATGGCGATACATGCGGCGGGCGTCGACGGTGATGCCAAAGTAGATGAAGATGACGACGGTCGTCAGGATCGGAATGTACTTGTTGTTGAGGAAGATCCACGGCACCTGAGTGGAGGGCATGAAGACGATCGAGTCCCAGGGAAACGGGGCGGCCTCGTAGCGGATCTTGTGGAAGTCAAAGGGCTGCAGGGGGAAACTGCTGAGGCCGTTGAGGACAGCGTGCGCCAGCTGCAGGGGCAGGTAGGGGATGAGGACGGAGATGGTCATGAAGTAGAGCCTGCGCCTGGTGCGGTTCTGACGCGAAGAGGCCGAGCTGTTGGACGACAGTGCATTCTGCATGCCTCTTCGAAGCTCGCGATATCGTTTGAAGGTCAAAACTAGTTCCGTTAGACGTTTTGTTCCGTATGATGAGAGAGAAAAGAAGCCAAGGCCACGGGGACGTACTCGAATAAAAGGCCGAGACCAGCGCAAGAAGAGGCGCGGGCAGCAGAAAGAATACAAAGTAAGGCCAGCTGCCATGGACCCTCCAGTCGCAGCCCACGAGGGTAATGATGATGTATCGCTGCGCCGTCAACGGATAGATCCACGCCATCTGGATGAGGGGGATCGGGAACATGATGAGAGCCTGGATGAGATTCTTCTTCCGCTTTTCCCTGTGGGTCAGGGGGTTCGCGCGCAGCATGTTGACTTGGTCGGAGAGGTTGCGACTGATGGCCAAGCACGAGGTCGAGTAGAGACACATGAGAGGTACGTAGAGAAAAGCGTGCAGGTCACACCAGCCGTAGCCGGCCCACCACTGGGTCGTATCGTCGTTGCGCCAGAGGAGGGCGTTGATGACGGTCAGCATGTTGAGGCACATGACGTCGATGATGAAGACAACGGCGGAGAACTCGCCCATTTCCGCCAAGAGCAAGCCGGAGGGGGACGAGACAAATGAGGTTTGTTGAGAAAGACCGAAAAACGACCCCGGCAGACTAGGTTCGCTGTGAGAGAGGTTGGAGAGACGTCGTCCGGCACGGGGAACGGAGAGAGGACCAGCGTCTGGGCCGCGGCGGCCATTTCGGCGACGGGTGCCATCGAAGCGGCGGTGACGAGATGCGCTCGATAGCGAGATCAAGCAATGGCCTTTTCCCGCGTACGTGTGTTTCTCGTGGAGCAGCCAAGATGCTTCTCGGGTCACACCCAGAGGAGTGTCCGTCTTTCTTTGAGGAACAGGTACGCAGGATGGGTTGGTGATCGGAGGGGGCGAGAGATGTGGTGGCACCGATTTACGCAGTGCTGTAATCGAACGAGGGTGAAGAGACCAAAGACTTCAGACTAAATCGTCAAAGAAGGCAGGCTGGGACGAGGAAGAGTTCCATGACTACGAGACAGGATAGAGGGCCGAGAGGGCAGGGCAGCAGGATCTTATGACGAGGCTCCTGTCAACAGTGTCATTGCTGGCGGGTGGTCGACCCCTCGGTCCATGGAGCAATACGTCCCAATAAAGCCCGGCGACGCTCAATAGCGCGGCTGATCAAAACCCCGGATGCGAGGCAGAACGAGGCAGGCACAGAAACAGAGCAGCGAGATGCGACAGCAGGGGCGCGAACATGATGCATCGAGCGCCAGTGGCCCGACGCGAATAAGAAAGCACAGCAGCTTCGCCGTGAGGACAAGTGGCAAAGGTGACGACAAGAGGCAGGTGAAGAAGAAAGACGGCGGCGCGCGAGATGGGCGTAGCCGCTCGCGGCAAAGACCGTGTCGTATCCGAGACGATGAAGCTATTCAGGGCCTCTGTTCAGACCGAAATCGGGACAAGGCTCGGGCCAGGCCTCCTGGCCCGGGGCCGAAACGGATGACGGCTCGACTACAAGTAGCGCTGCCATTTCTTGCACGGCCGCCGGTCGGCTAAGGGCTGTATGGGATTGGATTCGCCCCAGCCACCGAGGGACCTTTGCGTTGCCTGTCTCCTGCCGTGATCTGCCGCGATGCCGTCTGCAGCCTGCGGGAGCCATCGACGCACGGTGACTCTTCATCTTGCATTGCCGGCCAGATGCACGGTTGATGGGAGCATGGACGCGTGGGCATGCCTGAACGACGACAGATAGGACGCAGAGCTCGGAACCGCTGTTGTCATGCTCGTGGCAGCGTAGAACGAAGGTTTGGAGCTGGAGGAGTCGTCTTATTCAGGCCCCAATCAGGAAATGGCCGTTAGAGGCATGTCCTTTTGTGTCATATCACGTTTTGTCCCATGTTACCCTTTAGCGCATACAGTCTTGAATGCATAGACTCAACCCTTGCGCACGAGCCAGGTCCCAAGGGAACCCCTGACCGCGTCCCAAACGCGACGGCATCTTCAGCACCTTGACCCTGGCGCATGAATTTGAACATTTCCCCTCTTTCGACAACGAAGCAACCGCTCATCGCATCCCATCTCCCGCCCTCCTCCAGCTCCCGCCGCTTCCCATCTTCACCATCCAACACCTACCGCCCCCCAACGAGACGAAAAATCTGCCCACCATGTCTGCCTTCCTCCGCCCCGCCCTCGCCGCGCCGCGCATGGCCGCCCGCACCTTCAGCACGACCTCGTCGCGCGGCGTCGCCCGCATCACCATCGTCGGCAACCTCGCCGACACGCCCGAGCTCCAGGCCACGAGCACCGGCCGCGAGGTCCTCAAGTACGCCGTCGCCAGCAACTCGGGCCCCAAGGACAACCGCCAGACGAGCTGGTTCCGCGTCGCCAGCTTCGAGCAGCCCGGCCCCCGCCGCGACTACCTCCAGAGCCTGCCCAAGGGGTGCGTTTCCCCCACCGTTCTTTTCCTTCTCTCGACGCCGCTCGAACATGACTGACCGCGTCTTTTTTTTGGTGTGCCCAGATCTCTCGTCTTTGTCGAAGGCGACGCCTCCATGAGCACCTACCAGGACGCCGAGGGCAAGACCAGGAGTTCCCTCAACATCATCCAGCGTACGTCCGATGAGCAAGCTGTCAAGGGCCCTATATATATAGATTATATATCACACAAGGTGCTAACCACGACTTGTCACAGGCAACATTGAGGTCCTCAAGCGCCCCTCTACCGGCACCGCGCCCAGCGAGTAAAGACGTTGGTCCTGTGTACGGAAGTCATGCTGTATAACCGCCCCCCTCCCTTGTCGCCATCTGAACCTGTATGATCGAGCTTCTCTCCGCTCTGACACTGTGCTACCATCTCCTTTGTTTTTATCTTTTTACTTTTGGGGCTGTTATCGGACGATATGGGGCCGTTGACTGGATGGTGTACGGACATCCTCGCTCAGAAGGGGTGATTTGATACCACACTGAATATCCGGCTGTCCGCTGTGTTGTAATGATGGTCTCTCTCTCTCTCCCTCGCTTGATGTGTGGACCTTTTTATTGATTTGGAAAGCTCTGCGAGCGGCAATGGTGAATGCTATCTTCAAGTTGATCCATCATGACCCTTGCCTTGTCTAATGAGGCAGCCACTGTCTAGGGAGGCAGCACTGTCTAGGAGGCAGCCCACTGTTCTAGGACGCAGCATGAATGGACAGGCCAGGAAGAACCTACACCAAGCTCGGGCTGGTCCATTGCACCCAAAACCCGGGCGGCCAACGCCGGCCCCTCGTTGCTCCGTGTCCCCCCTTTGGGGCGCAGAGGG